AAATAGAATAGAAATAGAAAATTTGCAAATAATAATGTTTTGCCAGTGGACCGATGATACTTTGCTCTGGTATTGCAAAAATTTTTAATTTTTTCGGTTATATTCAACATCTAAATTAGAAATTTGCGATTGTTATTTCCGTTTTCCTTCAGCACAATGCAAAAGCAAACAATTTTATTATGAATAATTTTCTCGTCGCAGAGTTTCAAAACTCATGGCGGAGATGCGTTACCGTTTTACGTTGTAGTAGATAACCGGTGCAACAATGGGGACTGTGCAACGGCTTGTAAAACGACTGAAAAAAGAGTACATTCGTCATCTATGGTTTGCCGAGTCATCGACATTTTTGGACGGGGCTGCGATTGGATGAAATCGAAAAGTCAAAGCAAGTGCCGCAAACGCGCACAAAAAACGGAAAGCCGATAGATTTCCGCGATTGTAGTTTGACGCGCTTATCCAGTTGAATATTATGAAAGTCTGCTACAATGAAAAAGCTACCTTTTCATGAGTTTGACACATGGTATGCAGTCCAACTTCATTTATGCCGAATTTCGTGTAAATTATAAAACATCCAAATAGAATCTGAAATGTACAAAAAATTAAATTGATAAAAATAAATTGACAAAAAATCTATATATATGCGTATACGAGTTTTTTTAATTTATCTTTTTTTCTTTCAAATTTCATTTGCGATAAATATAAATATGTAAAATATTTCTCATTGAAATTTTATTCTTCAAATACAGTAGACAGCATTATATACACAAAGACTAAATAATATCAAATAAATTCTTTAATGATTTGTTAAAATTATATGTATTGAAAAAAATTTTGATAAATCAAATGTCGCGTTATTTGTATGATAATCGGCAATAAATAAGAAAAATTATTTATTAAGCAAAAATTTCGGTGAAAGTCTAACGGTTAGTAATTTTATGCTATGCAACTTTCACTCGCGGCGCGTGGCACATTACGCGCATGAGCTGGCGGTAAATTCAACGGATTCAGCGTCGTAAAATTCCGTATATCAGACTAGTTTTAGTAGAAAAATCTTGCTCGCATTTCTCAGCCGTATATTTACTTCGTCCGTCTTTAGTCGAGCGATAAATCGCGGGTATGTGTCGCTCCGAGATTTAAACCGGGCGAGTCTCAAGTATCTTAGGCGGACACGGGGCACGGGGAGGGTGAGGAGGGGGGGAGGCGCTTCTCGCAACGCGAGACCATCGAATCGTCAAATCGTTAAATCGACCAGCTGATCCGCGGCAGTGGACCGTGATACACGGAGCGGAAAACGACGGGGCATTATTACACGCGATTGTTCCTCGAAGCGTTACGTCAATCCCGATTTAGTCGTCCTGTACAAGCCGTACAAGAGCGCGGGCCGTACTCGTACGGACGCGTACAACACACGGACGTACGCACGTGCGTACGTGGGTACGCGCGTCTCTACACACCGAGAACACGAATCCGTTGTACAAGCACGCGCACACGGGCACGCGTGTACACATTAAAGGGCGGATATATCGGTTTTCCAGTCACGACTAATTTACCGCGCCATCGGGCGATTTATATTTCGGTGGAATCTATTGCACCGACAAAAAACCAATAACCCGGGACATT